TTTTTTTTTTTTCCCCGCGGAATTAAACTCCGCGTTCTGTCGCGTTCATTGCACGCGCGTGCATTCCGTTCAGTTTCTTCAGTTTCTGAACGGAAAACCCGCGTTCAATGAATGCGCGGTTTCATAGCGTTCCTTTCCTCGATTTCAAGGGTCAGTGTTAATACTTGACATGGAGAATATTAGAGGTCTCTCTCCGACCTCTAATTTATCCCGACGGCTCCCGGTCAATCCCTCTTTAGGCAGTTAATCTAAGGGCTGATTCGTCGGATTTCGGGTGGCCAACTGACCTTCGGCCGCCCGACAGTGGGCCATCACGCGCCCCTGCACCAGCTGCGCCAACCCACACGTGTGGGAGCCACTTGTACTGGCTCGCAGTCGCGTGATAGCGAGCACGCTTGACGGGGGGGGCATGCTCAACCGCGCGCCAATGCTCGCACGTGCGGAGAGCCCTCCGGCGCGCAGCCCCTTGCTCTCACTCGCACACGCTGAAGGGCCTCATGCAGCTGCTGTTAGAGGGCGTGGTGTCCCGACCCTCCGCTGCGTAACAGGCACACCTCACTTGTGGCTCTCAGCAATGTGCGAGACCCATCTTGTGAGCGGCCTGTTCCCAAAATGAGTCCTGGTTGGCGCTCCCACTGGCAAAAGAAGGGGGTGCGCCACTGGACTTTCCTTTGGTCCACGGAGGCTCGGCGCCCTGCTGTACAGCAAAGCACTTCCAGCCTGTGGCCATGGCAGCTGCCGGGCTCGCCCAGGGACGGGAAGGTAGAGAGACCGGCGCGGTCTTTTCTACTGCGCGCCGAGTTCCCTCTAGTTGAGTTATGGAATGTATAGAAGGTCGCGGTCACAATCGGAAAGAAAAGGAAAAGGAGAAAGAAAATTAAAAAAAGAAAAGAATAGTGTCGTTTTCAGATAGCGGCTTTTTTATTAATCGAAAAGTGACGTTATGTATTTTTCTCCTTTTTATTGTCAATTCAAATTTAGTTCCTCTTTCAGTCACTTCACGGGGTTGGAGACTTACCTGTTGGCCGCTGCGTTGCTCGACCAATCAATGGAAAACTCTCTCTCTCTCTCTCTCTCTCTCTCTCTCTCTCTCTCTCTCTCTCTCTCCCTATCTCTCTCTCTCTCTCTCTCTCTCTCTCTCCCTC